AGTACGGAGTACATCAAAAAGATCAAACAATAGCAGTCACGGGTGTTTCAGGTGTGGCTACTGGGCACGCTCCAGGGGCCAATCAACCACCAGTCGACTTATCGCCCGGAGGGTCTGTCTTTCTATTCTGCAAACTACAACTACAACTACAACTACAACTACTATACCTCACCTCCTTCATTCCCATGTCAATTAATCAACTCGCTGAATTAATCGCATCACTGAGCTGATCAGAGAAAAGAAAAAAAAAAAGGTTACCTACTGCTATTGCAGTCAGTTGATTTAGCTGTGGCTTTCTTCTGACAGCTGCAACCTTTTTCTCCGCGTTTCAAGTCTCTCTCGCTCCCTCTCTCGCTCCCTCCCTCGCTCCCTCTCACTCACTCACACCCGTCACGCCGCCCGTTCTTCTCGACTTCCGTTGACCTCTCGGACCAACATCTATCGTCCTATCTAAATTTTGTACTGGCTTACAATCTACTCTTCTCACTTCTTGAATTACTATCAGGACTCTTCTTGAAATCCTCCCTTCTCGTGATTCTCGTGTTGTTCGGATTCGAGCAAGTTCTCGTCCGTTTGAAGCCTAACGAGTGCCGCCCGGGCCTGGCTGCGCGCCTCACGCCAACTGCACGCACTGTCGCCTCCTTTATACCCTCATACTTATCCTTTCTTCTTACGACACCTTACTCAGTTTGATTATACATCGATCATGCTTCGTGCAGGCCACAGAACACATCCCGGAGACATCTTGGCTATCTGAGTGCATGTTCGAATTCCGAACCATCAATCACGAAAATTGCCAGCGCCAGGCCGATCGCATTGACCCTCTTACTCCGTACATCGTCCACTATGTTGTCGACAATGGTGCGCCCGGAGGATACCATAAGGATGCCCTTCGCCTACCGTGGCGACGCGGACAATGACGACAATGGCAGACAATCTTTGGAACAGAGCCTACCGGTCTCGCTCGTACCAGCCTCGTTGGTGCCTGCTGCATTGGTGCCTGCCTCCAGAATTGATGCACCGGCCAAAAGTGAGGATGAGGTAACACTTGTCAGTGGAACCGCAGGCGACGGCAATGGCACTACAGGCAAACATCCACCAGGACCCCGCTTGTTAACAACCGAGGAGACAATCGAGCTGGCCCGCCGGGCGGTTGAGAATGGAATCCAAGAAACAAAACGCTCGCTTGCTGGAAGTGAAGCAGTCACCGATGTAGTGAAGCCGAAGTTAACAATCGACTTGGGTCACTCCAACATTTCTCGTATTCCTGAGTCAGTCGTGGATACCATCAAGGACGAAGTTGAGCGGTATGTTTCCTTTCACCTTCCTGCTGCGAAAGACGTCACCTGCGTGCCCGGACACGCTGACAACTAGCAGACTCTCGCTATCCAATAACCAGTTGGTTCACATACCCTATCGATTCGCAGAGTGTCGTCATCTACGCTATCTCAACATCCGGGCAAACAGTTTCCGTGAATTTCCCAAAGGAGTACGTTCCGGGCACCTCAAATGAGCCTCTTCTGCTATGGACTCTAACAATGGTTTTAGGTTTATAAGCTGCCGCTTCTCGAAATTCTAGACATCAGTCGCAACAAAATCAGCCACCTTCCGGAAGAGATCAAAAAGCTCTCCTCTCTTAGGGTTCTTTCGGTAATGCAAAACCGCCTCGACGACTTACCACTCGGGATCTCCGACATGAACAAGCTTCAAATCCTCAAAGTTGCTGGCAACCCCTTGCGGTACCCCCTGCGACGACTCCTCGAAAGCTCTGAAACAGAATTTGCCCCCTCGAGCTTGACTGACAACGAGAAGGAGGTGGCAGTAACCGCTGAGCTTAAAAGATTCTTGAAGACAAAACAGCCTGTTGCGCCCTTGGAAATTGAGAAATATGACCCGAGGTATGTCCTCTTGTCTCCACTCCGCAGCACTGAAACTGATATCGCAGGGCTTTTAGCGAGGGCATGCTTGATACTCCCAAACCTCTTAAGCGTGGAATGAGCAGTCGATTCCCTGTGATCCCCAGTACTGGCGACAGTGCCTCCGACCCCAAGTCACCCTCGTTAGGTCGACCACCGCCAATTCCAATGAAGTCCCACTATCGCATCGCTTCAGGGCACAACCCTGCCTTCCACAGTGCCGTACTACAGCGTCCAGGGGCGAAACCCTATGGTGCGTACAATGAGCGCAATCGAAGCAACAGCGAAGGCATTATCCAAGCCTCTCTCGCAGCGCGCAACAAGCGGATGGGAGTCATTCGGAAGAACACAGACCTTGGAACTCTCGACGAGACACGTCCCTATCGGAATAGCCATCTGCGAGGCTTGAGCTACGGCTCGATTCTTCGTACCAGGCCATCTGGCGCCCTATCTAGCAGCAATTCTTCCAGTCCCAGCAGCCCAAGGGAGCGCAGGCGCTTGAAGGACGGGTTTGTGAATCGAATGTCGAGTTTACCGGAACAAAAGGCAGAGAAAGTGACAGCCGAGCCCATTATCGCAAGCGCAAAGTGCATTCTATTCGCTCTCTTCCAGATTCAATCCAATGTCACGTCCTTGATAAGCGTCATCAAGCGTGAAGACGCCCGTCGAAATAGCCTCGAGATTGTCTTTTACAATGCTTCTACTCATGTCGATCGCCTCAACGAGGCTATCGAGAACGCAGAACACTCTCAATTTGAGGAAGCCGACGTGGCACGGTTGGCCAACGAGGCTGTCAAGCGAGAATGTGAGACATGCATTATCGCCTACACACACGTCGGCACACAGTTACGAAACAGTATTGACAAAATAGTCACGAACGGCGAGTCGTGCTATGTGCGTTCTCTGATTCTCATGATATTCGGTAGCATGGTTGAATTGCGCAATGCGTGTGCACATCTTGGAGTGCCCATCGAAAAGGGCCCCAAACCAGCTGCGAAATTGCCTGTTCCAGAAATTAGGGAGTCCGCAGGTCCGGACCGGTTTCTGGGGCCAACCGTGACACCAACAAGGGGAAGAGACCAGTCGTTTTCGACACGACGCTACCGAAGTGACACAACAATCCAGTACCCTCAGATTGTTATGAATGGTCCTTTCCACGCAGCATCGCAATACCAGTCTGCCGTCAGTTCACCAGGGTTTGCCCCGACGCCATTCAGTCTCGCCACACGGAGTCGGTCCAGTAGCAGATCCAACCACATCAATACTTCCATACCGTCATCACTGGCAACCCCTCGCTCGGGCGAGTCATTCCCTGCGATCCCTAGCTCTGTTATACCTCGAATCAGTCCGATGACTGGACTAGATGAGATCGAAGAAGAGCGCATTTTCGAGAGAATCTTCGGTCAGCTCAACTCGGCATGTAGCGCTGCTCTCCAGGGATTGCCTGTGGCATTTGCTCAACTGGTGCGATGTCTCGAACTAGCTGAGCAAACGCGGAAGTCAGAGGGTATCGTCATGCTTTGGAAAAATCTCATCCACCGCTGCCAGGTGTGTCTGGATGTCTCAGAGGGCTTAGGCTCAAGGCTGTCCAACATGAAGGTGAAGGAGCCTGGTGGTGGAACCCGGAACACGCGCGAGTTCTGGCAACACTGCAAGGCATTTTTGCAGTCTTTCGTAGACCTTGTCATTGACATGAAGGAGGTTCGAAATATGAAAATTCTCCCCAACGACATTGTTAACATGCTTCGTCCCATCCAGAGGTCGAGCAGAGAAGCCGGACGTATGATCGATGCGTCGCCCTGGTCTTTTCTTGCAGATAACCCCAGCAATCCAACTCCTAACATATACGGTCCTCCTTTGCAGGCTCATCATTCACAGCACCAGACCTCGGTATCGACGACGAACACATTTCATCATGGCCCTAATTTATCGCCATCGGTCCATCTTCCTGCAACACCTCTAAGTGCCGCACTCGGTCCCGCTGCGCAGGCGACCGTTCCCTCTACCCCTGCCAGTGCATACAGCGACAAGTTTTTCGAAGGGGATGTCTTCCAAAGAGCCGACTCTTTGCTCTCGATGCCTAACCAAGCCCCATTTTTCGCCCGTCGCTGAACAGGAGTCTTCATCATCAACTTTCTCCGGTCTTCGTACCCACTGCGATAAACCGATGCTTTGACAGCTGGTTTCACGTGGCCACAAACTTGCGTTATTCATGGCTCAGTGAACAATTACGACATGATTCAATGTGCAGTATCACCTCTTCTTACTCTTACATGCTTTCCACGATCTTCCAGGCATCCTTTGTAACCCTATTTGTGTCGCATATTTGAATGTTCTTCTACACAGACACCAGGAATACGGGGGCACATCGACTCGGGACTCCAAAACAGGCGGCGTACGGCTTTTCCAGCGTTCAACTTCTACTGGGAAAGGACTTTGCATAGCGTGCTCTATCCTTTTTGTTTTTGACTATGCATTATGAAGATCAAGGCGAAATGAAACCCATCATGTATTTGTTTTTTTACCCCTTGTGATTCCTACCTACTGATAGAGAGGGGGGCACCAATTAAAGAAAAAAAACATCATAGATACCACCACAACTTTTCGAAAGCAAGGAAAAGGGCACCTCTTTTTTCCTCGCATAACATGACAAATTGCATCGAAAACGTGAAACTTTCTTGCTGTTGGTGCAGCAATCACTTTGCAAACCTAAAATTCAATAAGCCCCCTTTTCCAAACCGTGGGGTTGGTTTTTGTAAATTGTGTGTGCTTGTTGTTTTTTTTTGTTTTTTTAAGGGGCTCTGCTGTATTCCTTCCAGCACTTCGCCCCTACTGCATTGCATGCATCATGCAGGCTTCCTCCCCCCCTCCCCCAGGAGAAAGATTCGTGGATGTGCAAGACATCCACGCACTGACCTACAGAATTCTCATACATCTACGGTTCAGAGATGATCGTTCCCTTGTCAATCTAGACTTTTCAATAAGTGAATTCCTGTCGATTTGCCAATCCCCTTCGACTGCAGCAATTAGCGATTTGGGTGATTTTGTCTTTCCTTTACATGTACACATTGATATATATCTTTACTGCGATCATGTCAATCCCATTGCGCAGAGTCCAGAACCACATCCCGCACAAAAGCCAACATTTCCCGGGGCTTCTTAGCAAACACCGCATGGCCTGCGCCCCAGAAGAGATGGTAGGTGACCCCTCGCGAGGAGGTCCAGAGACCCGCTGCCACCGGTGGTGGTGGTGGTGGTGATAAGGGGTCATCACAGCTACTGGTATCTGCAGGGCAGGTGGTATCAGAGGACAAGGAGGAGGAGTGGTTTGTATGACGCAGGAAGCCCGCATCGTCTACATGGAAATAATTACCGGTGAACGGGCGCGAGAACCCCTGGCCGCCGTGCCAGGTCATATTCTGCAGGGCCAGTTCGATGCCATAGTGGTTGAGGAGGAAGTCGCTGTCGCCGGCGTAGACGTGGAGGGCGATGTGGTGGGTGGTGATGAGGTCGGGGAGGATGGTGTCCGCCGGCGGTTGGGGCAGTTGGCCGTCTTTGAGGACCAGAGTGCGGATGGTGTCGTTGCAGGGGAGATAGGCTTGTGCGCGGGAAGTGGTGGGGATGGAAGAGGAAGAAGAAGGAGACGGGGGAAGAGATTGCTTTTTGGTCTCTGAGGTGGTCGGATTGGAATTGCGACTGTTTGCCGGGGATGGAAGATGCGAGGCTTGAGATGATGATGATGATAATGATGATGAAGGTTGGAATGATACAGGGGAGGAAGGAGAAGGAGGGAGCAGGTTCAGTGCAACTTGGACGTCGGGTCGGCTGAAATATGAAGATAGTAGGGGCAGTGGGTTGAGGGTGGTACAGTTGTTGGTGATGTCGTACATGTCAAAACACTGATGGTGGTTCTGCGCGGTGGTGGAGAGGTATCGTGATGCTGTGGAGAATGTCGCGCAAGATCCGTCGCAGGTGGTGGAGTTCAGAATGGAGGAGAGGATTTCTTCGGGGGTGGTCAGAGGGGGTTGCATTGCTGCTGCTGCTGCGGTGTCACTGCTGCATGTTTGCTGCTGGTCTGGTGTCTCGTTATCGTCCTCTGCCTCTTCGGGGATGGGGATGGGTCCCTTGGGCGGATATTGTGCGGCCTGGTGGAGGACTTGGTCAAATCTGCAGATGGAATCGCCTTCAATGAACGCGTCGAGGATCTCGGGTGGAATTTGTAGGCGCGATTGCTGGGAGCGCATGTATGCTACGGTAGGGATGGTGGACATGGCGACGGAGTTGCCAAATGTCGCATCCCCGAGCGAGATGGAGCGTAGATGGAGCGGGAAGGAGGCCTGGTGGTGCACAATGGCTGAGGCAAGGTAGGGGATGTATATACCGGCGTAGGATTCGCCCATCAGGTGGATCTGCTTGGACCTGAGCTGAGGAAAGTGGGTGAAGAAAGACTGTAGCCATGCGTAGAGGTAGGCAGTCACTCCCTCGTTGTCGGACAGTGGATAGGGCTCACTCGCCGTGGACAATCCCGTCCCCACGGGTTGGTCGATATACAGAACATGTCCCAGCTGCGTCCAGGAGTGGGGATTGCGCTCGAGCTCGGTAGAATTGCCAACGAAGGCAAATGGCCCATTGCCCGATAGCAGTCCGATCAGAGACGAGCATCCAGGCCCGCCATTGAACCATACTAGCCGATGTCTGATTAGCTATTGCGGCTGGATCTGCAGAGAGAGACCAACTGATAAGGTTATCATCATGCGCAGGGTCTTCGGCCTGGAAGAGCCAGAAGAACAACGAGTTGCCGGGTTCGGTCTCAGGAACAGGAATCTGACCGGCCCAGCTGGTAGGAAGAGCAGAAGAAGGGACGCCTGGCAAGGAATGAACCTCGAATTGGGAGACGTCCAGCCGACTCGGAGGCAGGAATGCCCAAAGCATACGGATCAAGGCGTAGACAGCGACCAGATTCATTTTCTCATTTTCTCGTCTTCTCGTCACTCCTCACTGCACTACAAGCACTGTCGTAGCGACTGCCTGACTCCATCTCCACTAAATTACAAGCACTGTTGTGAGTCGCCATACTTATAATGAGTATCCCGATGTTGCTCTCAATAAGCTTGAGCTTATTGAACTCTACAAAGAGTCACGGGGTGGCGCCGACATTGCGTGTCTGAGCTGATACTGGTACAAATTACACTCTGAGAATGAAATAACTAGTCCCTGATGATTTCCGTGGCTTTGTCCTACCTCATTGTCTACTACTAAGTAGCTGTTGCTCAAGAGTTGATGGAGTATAGCGAATCACCTGATTTAGGGCCAGGCATGCGGTCACGGGATCGGCCCTGGCTTCCCAAAGAGGTTATCATCCTCATCTTCAAGGTTCCATTCCGCTTCATTGCCTACCTAGTAGGCTCGGCCGGTGAAAGCATCAATCAGGCAAGCAATGTGCAGCGGAGTTTCAACAAGTCGCAGTAGACATATATGTCAATACAAGGTTCATCATCACTCCATATCATCTGTCCGCCCTGGCCTGACAGGCCGGAGGAAGTTCTAGTACGGACTCCGTACTCCCCCGCCCCGCCTGCAACAGCGCAACGCGGAGCCAATAATGGCTCCAGACTTGCGCAACGTCTCGACTCTCAACTCTACCCTGCAGCCTTGGGGAGCAGAAACCGGGGTCTATCCTAACACCGCTTCTCTTATGGCTTGCCTTGCCAACGGGCTTGGCTTCTCTCCCCCTCCCCAATTGCCACCTCGCCGTCCTGACCCGGGATAATGAGGCGGCCACGCGTGGAGTATCTAATTGTTGTGACCAGTGCGCAACAAAAGTGAGGCGCTAAGCCAGCATCAACCACAGAATTTTCTCGCCCCTTTATTCGCAGAGGAAAGGCTCGAATGGCCCAGACACATTATTCGCATGACGTTTTCGCCGTCTGCCGTCTGTTGTTCGTTCTTGTCGGCAGTCATTACTTACGACTCGTACAGCGCCTTCTATAAAGCGACTCCAACTGCAAGTGCTGCGGATCCAATGAATTATCCCACCCCTTAGCAAGAACTGGATAGTTTCTCGATACGGAGTAGTAGATTGACTTGCCGGGGCCATCCGACCAGAACCTTGAGCATCAGATTCCTGCTGGAAACATAGACCCAAACCGGGGAAGAACTACGGTACTATAAGTTACAAGCCATTGCTGACTCGGGTTGACTTACCGATGCTACCACGCGTGTGATCCACCCCGACGGGGACTGTTGGGTTATCAATAATAAACATCGACGTCAATCTACATATCAATCTGCTAGGGTGGATAGATCGGGGCTGTCCCCATGTCCCACCCCAACCCAAGGGAGGAGCCAACGGGAGGAAATTAAACACGGTCGCGGGCGCCTGTGAAGTGAAAAGGGGCTTCTGTAGCGCAAGAAGAGTTCCCGCCGGCGGTCAACAACCCAGACTCGACTGCAGTCCCGAAAGTGTCGGTGGGCAAAAAGCGGAACCCCCCCCCCATCGCTAATCCGCCATGCGAGAGTTAACTTAGTAGAAGAATGATGGGTTTGACGCCCGACTATGAGATTGGGACCAATCGGCCGGTCTCATCTAGGTTTGCATGACAGAGAAGAGATGCAGAGTTGCCGAAAAGTCTTGGATGAGACTGAGTACTCCGTACCTATGGTACTAATCAGTGCACACGAGGGCCAAGCAAGCAAGCAAGCTGATGGATGGCATGATGCTAACTTAATGGGTGCTGATGCTCCGTGATCTATCGAGATCCCATGCTGCATGGTGCCTGCCGTTCGGCGCCCTGGGATAGGGAATAGGGAAACGAAAAACAATCACCCACTACTTCCAGATACTCATCCCACACAGATCTTGTCGGCCAAATTACACATATGTCTCGAGAGTGGATGACAGAAATCACCCAACCTGCATGCGGAAGAAGTCTAAAGATCCAACTATGGTACGGAGTACTACTCACTCACTCATACTTGCCGGTTGTTAGTTATAGTTTTCCGTATGGAATGTCCGGCCATCCCCTGCTTGGGATCTTTTCTTACTCTGTGCAGAGACAGTCTCCTGTTCATCACATAACTAACTACTAATGAATAATCTGTAAACAAAAGAAACCATACTGGAACAAAAAAAAAAAAACAAAAACCCTTCACAAGAGCTCGGATTTAGATGGATTCGGTCTTAGATCCATCCGAACACAGTCAACGGCAGGCTGCATCCATTTGCTTTGCACATTGGCATGATTCAGCGGGAATACACCGAATTGCCCTCCTATCGAAGTATCACCGGAGACTATCCCTCCTAATAATACCTTTGGATTTGTTTTGGTTCCTCCCCGAATCTATTGCTCCATCCCACCCAGATAGAATTCAATTGACTGGTGGCGTTTCTGCATGGGTTAGTTAACCAGTTGAACCAATTTGAACCAGTTATGGGGAGCGGACTCCCTATCACATTTGGGAACTCCAGGCCTTTTCCAGGGTGCCGGGTAGCAGCATTGAAACCGGCACACGCCCGAGGCCCGAGATCGCACACGATACCGTGCCCTGCCCTGGTTGTGAGGAATGCTGCTGCTGCTGCTGCTGCTGGGGTGGAGTCAGGGATTATCGCTGCGGGAATAATTGACTTTCTTTCCCTTTCCCTTTGCCTCTGGTCTTTTCGCCTTCCACTTTCTCAACCCTCGCGCAGTGGTTAAAGAATGAATGAATGAATGAATGAATGAATGAATGAATGATTGATTGATTGATCCTTTCTTCCCCACACCACCTTGAACTAACCATCGGGCCAGGCTTGAAGAAGGGCAATCCTCGTTAACTTAACCTACTAGTACTTACTCACTTCTTCATCTTTCTTTACTTCAGCGTTTCTTCTCTTCTTCTCTTCAAGCATCCCACGTCATCCGCTATGTGATGAAGGATTGTTGATGGAGGATTGAAGTTATAGTTCCCTCTCCTTTCAGCGCAGCTTCCGTGCCCGTTCCCAGCTGGTCTCCAGGTGGTTCGCAGAGCCAAAACAGAAACCGGAAAGTTCGTAGTTGCTGCAAGCGTCTAGATTAGATCAGCCTCACTTTTTCCAGTGCCCCTGCAAAAGGCTCACTTGCCTCTCTTCCCTCTCATTTTTTCCCTCTCTCTCTTCCTCTCTCTCTCACTCTTTCGCTCTGACCAGTCAGTTTATACGGTTTAGCTAGTCTCTTGCAATGCGGTAGTGCAGGACTGATCTTGTCTTTCCATTGATCACTACCCATTCCTTTTCTCGCTGGTTTTTTTTCTTATTCTTTCCCTTCATCTCTGGTATTGCTGTAGTTCCCTTGGCTGGTGTTTTTCCTTTATTTTTTTTTCTCTCCCCTTCTCCCCCTCTTAGTTGACACTGACCTTTTTCCCTCCCCTCCCCCTGTTTACGGTAGTGCAGGGTTACTCTTCGGAGTCTTCAACCGCTGGATCTACTGAAACCCGCATGCTTTGTTGCTGCCATTGGGGTGGGTTATCAGAAACATTGAATATCCCGGTCTCTTTGTTCCTCTGATCTCGTTGCTGTCGCCTTTCTTCCTGTCCGCATCTGTTTGCTCTTCCCCTTCGGCATTCCCTTCATGGTTGTCGCGTAGCCATTTGATTGACCTTGTTGTCTCCCTTTCTGCTTCAACATATACAGCTTCACATCTTGTGCTGGGTGTGACATTGGTGTCGTCTACTAAGACTTGAAGATCAAAAGGCTTGTCACGTCACAACAAACACCACAAGAGATCTATACGATATATAAAAAGGCAGAAAAAGGAAGGGGGCACATTTGCTACACAACAACTACAACTGGTCGACTTCCATATCGTCAGTCCACACCTACCACACTTCTTCCAACCAATCTTCAACTACAACCACCACCACCACAACAAACTTCCCGCTTAATGATCGACACCAGCGATCGACGTCGTTGACCAAGATCAGGTGCGCACTATTTTCCCCTCCCTCGCCTTGAAACCCTGTCGACCCCAGGCAAGGACTGACAGAAGGGTTGCTGGAAAGGGATCACAATCGAACCTTCCCCCCCCCCCACACCGTCGTTGTCGTGGTCTAGTATAGGGCTACGGTGCCTTGCGTCTATCACCAAGGAAATGCCCGTTTGTCCCACGATCTAGGTGCAGCCACATATCGTCAAATCTCCCACTTGGCACTTGGACCAGTTTACTACTCTCCTGCCACGCCTCAACCACCAACCTCCAGCCATCACCCTTTCCTCTCTCAACCCTACTACCTCACCATTATCTGCTCGGGCACTAGCGGGATCGGATGGAGATGGACCTTCAAAAAACGAAGGAGGCCCGCCGGGATACGCCGGGCAAGCAGGAGGAAAGCGCCGACTGTCCGTTGGAAGCCTATGGAGGAAGCGGCCATACGAAAGAGTCGCCCAAGAACGATTCGCTAGACCATCGCGATACGAACGAACGTCCTGATCCCGCGGACGCGCGCCAACAACGGCACCCGGGCAGTTCTACTTACTGCGAAGATGCTTCGCAGTCTCCGCCTGCAACAGCGCTCCTAGCGCCAGCCAGACCATCATCTTCATCGTCGAAGACCCTTGACATTCCGCCCGCGTTTGGGCTTCGTTCCGAGGAACATAGGCTGCTGCTGACCGCCAAGCGCTATCCCCCAGTAACGAAAAGCACGCTGAGTGAGCTGGATCTCCCATGCATCATGAGCAACATCAACCTGCGCATGGATGCGAACTTCGACCGGGACCTGCATTTCAAGCCCGACCTCGACGGGGAGAAAGGGAGGCGGAAGCGGAAAGAGGCGGCGGATTACTGGGAGGCCATGGCCGTGGAGATTTCGATCTACGCGTTCTACTCGTCGCCCGAAGCTGCCGGCCTAGCCGCGGATGCGCGGACTGACCAGCGACAGGCCTTCGAGCCCCGACTCCCTGCCATGTTCGACACCTTGCAGGATGTGTTGAAGACGTTGGTGCCCGAACGCGATCATCCGGGGGTGGTGCAGAACCTCGAGGTGCCGCTACTCATGCAGCAGATCCAAAAGGGGGTGCTGGATATGGTCCGGGTGGCCGCCTGGCTGGCAGGGCTGCTCAAGACGCATTGTGCCCCGATGCGGGATGAATGGGCGGATCGAATGGTGGAGCAGATCCGGTCCGGGTCGCAGTCGCAGAATCCGATGGAGATTGTCGGCGGCCTCCAGACGTTGTTCGCGATCCTGGAGGCCATGAAATTGGTAAGGCGTCGGTTCACGCGCAGGGTGGTTTTTGCCGCCGCGAAAGAGAGAAATGGGAACTGATTCTGCTTGCCTTAGGACGTTGCGAACCACCAGATCCGCGCCTTTCGGGTGCTGCTGATTGAGGACACTGTTCCGTTTCTGCAGGAGTATTTCCGGGGCAAGATTGAGAGGGATAACTTCCGGGTCGACTCGTCGCGACTTTGGTATCTGGAGACCCGGGAGCGGGAATTGCGACAGATGGACAAGGCCGCACAGACGGACGGATTCTGGCCGATCTCGGTGCTGTTTCAGGGAGTGTCCGACTTGTTACTCCAGTTTCACCCCCCGGACGCCTTTCCGGAAACCTTTGTGTTCGACTCGGACCGCTTGTGGCAGCTCCGGACCTGTCTTCAGAACCTGATCAACCTGGACATCTGCTGGTTCATCTTCGAGTCCTACATCCATACGCAGAAACGCTACCTGTCGGCCCCCGCCCAGACATACGCCACCTTCCGGTCACGCATTGGATCGTTGATGGAGGAGAACGAGGACTGCCTGCGGGGGTCGGTGCAGTGGGTGCAGAACGTGCGGTGCATCGGGCTGGAAATTGCTCGGTTCGCGTGTGCCGCCTGCTGCAGCGAGGGCAGCACGGTCTCGGACGAGGTGATCACGCAGATCGAAAGCGCGCTGGAGTGGCACCTGTCGAACGAATCGGGGCTGTTTCAGTACTTCCAGGCCTCGCTGCGCGAGAAGTTGCTGGCGGCGTCGTTCGCGGCGGCGAAGAAGTACCTGAACATGTCGCCGCTGGCGATCTGCGAGTCGCAGCGCAATTTCTCCCACACGGCGACCGCCATGCTGGGCCATCCCCAGCACTATGACGTCGAGCGCATCTCGATGCGGCTGGCGCATATGGGGGTGCTACACTGGCGGGTGTGGGCGCCGATTCTGTATGTGCGCGAGAGCGTGTCACCGACTGACGTGGCGATTATCCCGTCGAACGAGGGCTATGACGTGGCACGTTCCGCGACTCTATGATCACGCGGGCTGCCTCCAGATGGATTCTTTTCTAAAATATCTTTTCTTGTTTGTGACACACGGGTGGCGTTGGGTCAGTTTCATGCAGTTCTTCAGCGCGGATTGCATCGGTTTGTTCTGGTTCTGGCGTTTAACAGGGGTGAGACCGCGCATATATAATTTTGGCTCTCTTCTTTTTCTGATGTGAGGCGATGGCAGGGTGTTTGGTTCCAGGGTCGTTCCAGAAGGAATTTAGATATGATTGACTTGACTGGCATCTTGCATTTGGGCATTTTCAACACCTACGGGGCAATTACTCAAGCACCTACTAATAAGATCTTGACTTGACGGCTTGGATGGTGGGCATGCTGTCGAGGGTAAAATATGCATAATAGGATTTCTTCTGTTCATGTGGTGTTTAGCATCTCTTCCGACTTGCAGTCAGTACTATCTGTATACAGCACTGGCTATATTATGTCAGCCACCCCAGATCTTGGACCCACATCGAATTTCGAATTTCCCAGTATGGAAACCCGATCCATCCCCACTTGATACATAAATTTATACCTTTTACAAGAACTACACCCCTTGCCAAGTGCCTTTTCCAAAGTCACGAGCCAGCAAACCAGAATCCCCTCAACTACAACCAGCCAAGCCCATTTAGTCCCAATTTTACCTGCCAAAAATCTATGGACTAAATCCCGTCAATCTCTTCATCATCTCCAAATGCGCACCACCATCCCTCTCCTGCGATCCGCTCCCACCACTCCCACAACAACAATAACAACAACAACAACAACCATCCTCTCAGCCTACCTCCCCACCCTAAAAGCCACCCACCTCCAGCGCATCGCCCAGCGCACCGGGATCAAGTCCAGCGGCACGAAACCCGTGGTCATCCGCCGCCTGGAGACGGAACTTCCGCGAAGCGAGTACGCGTACCGTTCCCGCTGCCGGGATGCCGTCGATGGTGCCGAGCTAAGCCCCGAGCCAGCCCCGGGCACGACGGGCACGACGGGCACGACGGACACCATGAGCATCCTCAGCATCGACATGGGCATCCGCAACCTCGCCTTCGCGCATCTCCTCGTCGGCCTGCCGCCCTCTCCACCTCTTTCTTCTATTCCCATTCCCTCATCCCGAGAACCGAGGGAAGAGAGGCCCAGCATCACGCTAACCGCATGGCGCCGCCTCTCCCTCTTCGACTCCGACTTCGACTCCGACATCTTCCCGCCCACCACTACCCTCAACCACCCACCCGCAGACGCAGACGCAGACGCAGACGTAGACCCCGCCCCCGAACCGGAGGAGTATTCCCCCCCCCTCTACGCCGCGAAAGCGTATACCCTGCTCACCACCCTGCTGGAGCGGTACCGCCCCACCCACGTGCTGATCGAGCGCCAGCGGTTCCGGTCCGGGGGGTCGGCGGCCGTCCAGGAGTGGACGATTCGCGTCGGCGTGTTGGAGGCGGTGTTGTATGCTGTTTTGGAGGTGTTGAGGCGCGAGAGGGGGGGTCTGAGGGAGAGGGGGAGGCGGGTGGTGCCGCGGGCTTGGGGCGTGGAGCCGGCGCGGGTGAGTCGGTTTTGGGCTGCGAGGGTTGCTTCGGGGCTTGGAGTTGGGGATGCTGGAGTTGGGGATGGACTTGGGAAGGGAGGGGGTTTACTTGGTGGTGCGTTGCTGGTTTCTGGTGGTGGTGATGTTGGGTCTGGGTCTGGGTCTGGGTCTGGGTTATCAGGGGTGGAGGGAGAGGTAAATGTCACTGAAAATCGAAACGGGGAGCGTAAGAATAGTAGGAGGCGGGTGCAGGAGCAGCAGCAGGAGCAGCAGGAGCAGCAGGAGCAGCAGGAGGAGCAGGAGCTGACTCAAGCTGAGGACGGAACTGCTACAGCTACAGCTACAGCTACAGCTACAGGGCGTACACGCAAGAAGAAAAAGAGCGCGCGAGAGGTCAAGAAGATGAAGATGGATCTGGTGGGGCATTGGCTGCAGAATGCTACCACCACCACCACCACCACCCACCGTCCCGGCACTCTGGCCGTGGCCGACGACCACGAGTTACAGCGGTGGGTGCAGGCGTATCGCTTCAAATGGCAACCCCCCAAACACACGGGCACCCGGACTGGCGCCCACGCCAACTTGCCGGATATCGGCAAGCTGGACGATCTGGCGGACTGTTTGGTGCAGGGGGTCACTTGGCTGGAGTGGCAGCAGATGCGCCACCGTCTCATGGCTAATCCTTCTCTGTTGGATAAGATCTAGCTTAGCTGGTCACGGTTCGGGTATGTATGCACTGTATGAAAAAGTAGATGTATTATAGTAGACCTACAATACTAGTTATAGTCTCGTGCTACTCCACACTAGATCTACACATACCCGTATCTCAAACTTAATTCATTTCGTGTCTAATATCCGCTGTCATAAGCAAGATCGTCATCGGATGGTCGTAAACCCCACTTAGGATCTATTCTTCACATAGATACAAATGTGCCCGAGAGCGAACACATGCCTAACATTCTCGTCCGCTCCAGCTAGGGACCCCCCCAGCCCGGCCCGTCACCATACAAAAGTCCATGTCCCATGAGAGGTTCTCACAGAGAAACTAAATGAAGAAACAGCTTCGTTGGATAACGGGTAGGCCCGGGACGGATGCCACAAAGATGGAACAACCTGAGTACCTAGCCGGATGGACGAGAATGGAAGATAGACTAGGTGGAGAAAGAAGAAGAAAAATTGTCAAGTTTGTACCAGAAACATAAATATCGAAATCCTCTCATAGGTACAAGGCCAGCGCAAGCTTTACGCCACGGGTTCAATTCTCAGTACAGTCGAACGCGCCAGGCTAAGCCCTTAGTAGACGCGGCGGAAGTGCGAGGGGAAAGCCGCGCGGCTGCTGGTCTGGAAGCCAGTGGGACGGGCAGCACCGCTAGGGTAGGGGAAGGTGCCGTTGCTGTGGCCGAAGGGAGGACGGGGGGTGGGGACCACGGTGGCAGTGCTGGTGGCAGCGGCCTCGGTGGTCGAGGCGCTGGAGGTGGTGTCCTCGGCGCTGGTGGTGGGCTCGGCAACCTCGACGTTGGTGTCGGGGGTGGCGGTGATAGCAGCGGCAGTGGTAGGGGCGACAGTCTGCAACTTATGATCAGCATCGACATCATCAACTTTCACACAGCCCAACTTACCACAGTGACAGTGTCGTGGACAGTGACAGTGACAGGAGCGCAGCTGTCGCTGGAGCCGGAGCTGGCGGAGCCGGAGGAGCTGCCGGAGGTGGCGGCAGAGCCAGCGGCACCAGTGGACGAGGGGACAGCCAGGAGGGTGTAGGTGGCAAAGGCGGTCGAGGTCGAAGTGAGGGTAGTGTCCTGAGCACCGGCGCTGGCAGTGCTGGAGCTGTGGGCCCCAGGGGTCTATATCAATGGGTCAGTAGGATTCACAGGCGGCCGATAACACAGCAAACGTACCACATAGACGGTCTGGACGTCAGTCACGGTGCGGTGAACAGTAGTGGTCACCACGGTCTTGGAGGCACCGGCACCCAGAGTGTAGGTGAGAGTGACATCCTTGGTGGAGGTCTGGGTCTCGTACTCGGTGGAGACGGACTCAGCACCCGAGGCAGCGCCAGATCCAGAGCCGGAGCCAGCAGCAGAGCTGGTAGCTCCCGCGGACTGGGTGACGCCGGTGCCGAGAGGGCCGGGGGCGGAGGTGATGGCCGAAGAGTAAGGGAAAGGAGGCACGGGGGCCGAGGAGTGAGCACCGGGCACCACGGAGGAGGGACCAACGGGGACCACGGGCACGGAGGAGGGGCCAACAGGCACAACCGGGACAGAGGAAGGAGCCGAAGGCACAACAACCGTCACGGACGAGGAGCCCACCGAGGCAACAGGAGCCACAGCCTCGGAAGAGGGCGCAGCGGGGACGGGAGCAGCAGAGGTGGTGCCCTGAGGAGCGACAGCCAGGCTAGTAGTGGCAGCAACGGCGGTGGAGGCCGAGCTGGTCGCAACAACGGGCTGGGGAGGCTGGACAGTCGTGGTGGGGAGAGTGACGGGGATCGCAACCGAGCTGGAGGCGGCATCGCGGCCGTGGAAGTGCAGGTTGTGGTGGATGTTGGCCTCGCCAACGGCGGCGAGAGCACCCAGAAGGGCAACCGAGACCTTGGTAGTGAGCTGCATGGTGGGTGATTTGTGGTTTAAAGGGTGGTGATGTGTGATGTAGGTGGTGGTGGTGGTGCTTTTGTTGAGGTAGAGACTGCGGGGTGTTGTTGGTCAACGAATGTGAGCTGCGAAATCTATTCGCAACAAATTGGATAAAGAATGACTGGGTTCGAAAGAACGAAGCAACGTCTCTAGCACAGAGAACAGTTGAGAGAGAAAGTAGCAGTCTGACGGAATCAATCCGAGAATTTGGGGAAAAGAGAGTCGTTAAAAAGAAGAGAATGGAGACAGTTAGAGAAAGAGAGACTAGACTAAGAAAGAGAAGAGGAAGAGGGGGAGGAGAAGAAAGGAAAGGAAAGGAGACACTAATTCCATCTAATATCTTTTTTTCTCATTTGATTAACCCACCCGGAGAGTCACGATACACATGAGTTACCAGGCACCGTACCAAGTGAGGGTGAGTTCGGTGAATTAATGCAAGGCCATCTGTAACGTACGGTTGCATCAGCCGATCTTCTGCCTCGTGCACTCAAGCATTAGAGACGATTAGGGAGCTTAGCCTGTCTCATCTCAGGCCGAACAGGCAGAAAAACCGGGCCGTTGGCAGAAATGGTGATGGGAGATGATATGAATTAATTTCCTGGGACTCCACCGAGTGGGTCTCTGGCGCAGGCACCATCCGTGGATTGGAGGTTCAAAGGAAGCAGAGATGATGGCCCCCGTTTCATCCCGTGAATGCACGACGTTTACTGGCTGTTCTGCCCCTGGCTTTAATCTCGTGTGGGCCGTTTCCCCCGACCAATCGACCGCACGGGGTGCCGTGTTTTTCTTTTTTCCCTCCGTCTACTTGGACTCTTGGAGTGTCCCACTGCGTGCCCCGGGCTGTACTCCGTATACAGTACTCTACAGTACTCTACAGCACTCTAAAGCACTCTACAGGCACAATCGAAACAAGCAATAGCCAGGAAGGCACCCTGCAGAAATCTTGTACATCTAATCGAGGGGCCAGAATTGCCAGGTGTCTGTGTGAGGGCGCACCAGCACGTCACACATCCGCCTGATGAGCGATGAGCAATCAGCAATGAGCATCCATAAGTCACGGTCAACAGCTCAATCAGTGCTCAACTCTAAATTGCCAGCTTTCGGAAATGAGCACCAATTTCCATCCTGTACCTTGTCACTGCACCCACGGTACCATACCAACAGAACAATCAATAGTCAAAAGTCAAGACCGACTATCGATCAGCTACCTCCCACCCATTCTGCCAAGCTCTATCTCACGTATGGGTCCACGCAGTCTGCGTAGCAGTGACGAGGCATTGGGTGAAAAGCGGGGGATTAAGAGCACGGTGAGATACACTCCTAGAGTCTTTAGGGGGGAAATAGGGGGATTAGACACCGTATCGACAGTATCTCGGAGTCATTGTACAGCACTTGGTCCAAGCGTGGGCCATTCGCTACGTGGTGGCGGCCATCGCGAATGGTCAAGCTCGGCGCCAACCGGGCCCGCTGGGTCGCCCGACTATGCGAAAACTTTCTCTAAGCGATTGGGACCGGTGCAGTAGGCCTAAGCGAACAAGGCCACCATAAACAGGAAAGGCAATGGCTCAAAGAGGACAACAACAGCAGCAGCAGCAGCAGCACGTATGACAATGACTCGGTGGCTGCCTGCCAGAGGCCGTTGGCATCAATGACAGTGTTGATCCGGAGGTTATCACCAGCAGAAGAGATCATTCGAGGATGATCATAAGAGAAGTGGAGCCCGGTCAAAGTGACCGGGAGTCTAGAGTCTAGACACTATCCCACAGATTGCACTCATCTTAGATTAAATATGAGCAATAACCGCCCTCCTGCACACCAATTTAATGGTTGCTGGATCACTGTGACATGAAATGGTCAAGCAGATATCTCTGGACCCCTCCCCGGGTGTTCACCAGAAATCCAGGGTCATCGACTGCCGCGGATGTTTCAAACCAGAAGAGCTAAGATACTCGGTTGCCTGAAGTTTTGGTGGTTGATCCGAGAAACCGAACAGTGAAGTAGTTAACTACTGTACTAAACACTGACTAAGGGATGATCGCCATCGCGGCTACACTCGCAACAGACCGCTAGGAGGAAAATTTCGAAGCCCCGAATTCTAGCCCTTCGGATAAAAAATCATTCTGGCTTCATTGCTCGCTCACCGGCCAACACGGCTGATGGATCGAGATGCATGAGCATCGAGATGACTGTGATTGGGATCAGCCCGCGCATTAATCTAGACGGAACACGGTGACCGTCCAGCCCGGCTCACTGGCCTTCCAGCGTCATCCATCGGCCCTGGTGAGATAAGAGTAGGACATGTATTTAATATCGGCTTTGCCGCCACTCAGCCGTGTTGGGTGGGTTGAGGGTTGGACAATCTCCCTCCCGATGAGTAATGGAGGGAACAGTCAGTGTTGTGTTGTTCTCCGTGCGTAGGACGAGTAGTACGAGTAAGTTAGAGCGCAAGTCTTCAAGTTGCTCTGCAGCCACCCGTCGGAAAGACAAACGAGAGGGAAAGAAAGGGTCCGATGGTTGACTGTCGATCCGCTTCTTTTCCTTCCATGGATTTCGGGCAATTCTTCCCGTTTGTCCCACTCTGGGCGGTCGGCCATTTTTGCCGTGGTTTTCGGTTCGGTTGCGGCTCTGACGCTGCAAGCTGGAATGTTTCGAACTGCCGTGAACTTACCTGCTTTTCTGCCCCTCATTGTTGTTCTTGTTGTTGTGTGTTCTTCTTCGTGCATGAAAGCATCTCCAAGAATAGCCACTGGGTCAAACATCGTCTAACGGATCGACTATGGAAAGACCCCCCTTCCAGTCCCTGCAGGCACATTATGCTTCCCGCTTAAAACAGTTCCAAACATCAGATCGGAACTTTGAAGTTCTGGCCTCCGTCTCACCCGACGACCATGACCCTGCTTCCAGTCCCGACGTCTTGTACGTGCTTGACTCCTCTTTCAATCCACCGACGCTCGCACACCGTCGGATTGCCTGCTCGGCTCTTTTAGAGGACACCAGCTGCGCTCCGCGGCTCCTCTTGCTATTGGCGACGCAGAATGCGGACAAACCATCTAAACCCGCTTCTTTCGAGAACCGCCTAACCATGATGGACTTGTTCGCTCGCGACCTTCTTTCGCATTTACCGTCTGCAAGTCCTCCAGGCACTCGCCAGATCCTTCCAGTAATAGACATTGCCGTCACAAAAAAGCCATACTTTGTGGATAAGGCGGCGGAAATAGAGCGGGCGGGGGTATACCCCCACTCGCTGGAACAAGTCCATCTTACGGGCTACGATACCTTGATTCGCATCTTCGATCCCAAGTACTATCCTCCAGAGCACACCCTGCAGTCGCTGGAGCCCTTCCTGTCCCAGCATCGGTTACGGGTGACCTTGCGCCCTGATAGCAGCTGGGGCAGTCGGGACGAGCAGGAGGCCTTTCTGCGGGACTTAGCGGAGGGAAGGAAAGATGACATAGGCGGTAAGCGGGAATGGGCCCAGCGAATCCAGCTGGTGGAGGGACGGAAACCGGGGGCACCATCGGTGAGCTCAACCAGGGCCCGAGAAGCAGTCGCCGCAAACCCCCAGGATCTGGACTGGCTGGTCCCGTCGAGCATTCAGGAGATGATTCTGTCTGAACGACTCTACGCGAACTAATCGACAGCGGCCTGGCCGGTCAAGCGCATACCCGCTGCCTCGCGCGATTGCGGTCCGTCAGTCGCAACCACTGTAAATCTTTTTTCATACTACGTATACACATAGACAGCGCATTTCAACATTCTGCATGCCAGAAACCAATTTGCTTTTTAGCTCAGCGACGACCATAACACCATGCCCAAAGCGACGCCCTCATCCGTGTGTTTGGCGGACATTATCGTACATACATAAATCTTCGATGGATCTTCAGGCCCTGCAGAATGGGCCCAATCTATACAGTTATACCCATACCGTCTATTCTTCGTCTTCTTCCCGCTTGCCCAGGGTGTAGGCAAGTCCCCCACTCACCATGTTAACCAAGCAAAGACCCATGGTCACGCCGCGCACAATGCCCCGAGCGCCCCATTTCTTCATGAACGGCTGCTTGCGCCGCCCCGCAAGCAGGAGGTAGAGCCCAGACCAGGCGGCGCTGATCCCCGCAGTGTCGGTTTTGAATCCTTGAAGGTTGGCATAGCTCGAGAAGAGAAGGAGAGGAGGGAATAGCATGGGCAGTGGTTGGAATGGGCGCATGTGCTGTGCGGTGATAAGAGAGGCCAGTAGAGTAGGCGGAAAGGCGTTCTCTACATGAAAGTAAGAGCGCGTCAGCTTGCAAGCACCAACAGGAGTGATATCCATGGTCTTGCGAAGATAGCCCAGGCTGTTTTGGTCAGTACTTACCGCCCCATGCTCTAGCTGTCTGGACCAGAGACTTCTCCGTCTGCTCTACTGCGGAGTCCGAACCAGCCATGATTGTGTCAGTGGTGTTTAATCGTGATTCAGATGAGTGGTGAAGCCTATCTTAAACAACAATTAGCCACGGAGAAGAGACGGCGCAACTATGGAAGAGCGACGGGGGTGCGCTGAACGCACCGGTAACAAGTACAGTGATAATGCGGAGGTGGTGGTAGCAGATGTGAGGAGGGATGACGATCCGCGGCAACGAGCACAAGACAGTCTTTCCTGACTAACACTGCAAGCCACTGTCAACGCTTACCCGGGGCTTAGCGTCAACATTTGAACCTCCAGAACTCACCACGTTTATCAGTCACAGTTGTTGTTGTTTTTTGTTAAATCTTAGACCCCAACTGGCACGCCGCAACTGAACCAGCTGGCTATCTTTCTTGTCCTTGTGCCTAAGCTGTATCTGCAGCCCTTATTCGATTTACAACAAAACGCCCCCCTCTCTTGTCTTTTTTCGGTCGTCCGCTTCGGCTGCCAGGCCCACCACTCTCCCTCTTCCGAAGATCCACGCCTCGACGTACACTCACTGCGCCCAAGAAACAAACAAAACACAAAGCGACGAGCAGCGCATTGCTGCCACTGAGTGAGACTCGAGTCTTCCTGGGGGCGATCGCCGTTTTTCAAAACCTGCTGCTGCGATGCCATCCGCCACCGCATCTGGGGTAGACAATGGGGGTGCTGCGAAATCTCGCGAACACAACCAGGGCAACCAGGACCGCAAGTACACCCCGGAGCAGAAGGCGGCCGTCCTGAGGATTCGGAAATGCTCAACCACGGCGTTCTACGAGATCCTGGCGGTGGAAAAGACCGCCACCGATGGCGAGATTAAGAAGGCGTATCGCAAATTGAGTCTATTGACGCATCCCGATAAGAATGGCTATGAAGGAGCGGATGAGGCTTTCAAATGTCGGTTTGGTTGTCTTCTTCCCTTTTCGGGTGTGTTCAACGTAAAACTAACCACCCCAATTGGGGCTGTAGTGGTATCTCGGGCTTTCCAAGTCCTGTCCGATGCGGAAAAGAAAGCCAAGTACGATAAATTCGGAGGGGATCCGGATAGCAGGTTTACTCCCAGCGCGGGACCTTCGGGTGCTTCGCCCTTCAGTGGATTCGGCGGTGGATTCCCACGGTCAGGCGGCGGCGGTGGTCCGATGTTCGAGGAGGAGATCTCGCCCGAGGAACTCTTCCAGCGGTTCTTCAGCGGTGGCTTTGGCCCTATGGGAGGGGGTTTCGGTGGGACACATCTGTTCAGTGTCTGGGTGCAAGCGACGGCTAACTCGTGATATGCAGGCGGTCCCCAATTTGTCTTCAACATGGGGGGTGGTCCCGGGTTCCGGGTACATCAGTTTGGAGGCCAGCGGCCTCGGAGAAGACCCCGCGAGGCCAATGGCCAGTCTGAGCCGGCGCCATCACTCTGGTCGACCTTCCAGCAGCTTCTCCCTCTCATTCTCCTCTTCGTCCTTCCCTGGATCTCTTCTCGGTTCTCTGGCACCCCTACTCCGTCCGGTCCCTCGTACAGGTTCGACGCCGCGGTGTCTCCCCACACGCTGCATCGCACGACGCCTAAGCTGAATATCGATTACTTCGTCAACCCGCGAGATGTGGATGACTATAGCGCCCGCAAATTCCGCCAGCTGGACCAACGGGTGGAAGTGGACTACGTGACGAAACTGCGGTATGAATGTGATAGCGAGATCCACACGCGGGATCGCATGATCCAGGACGCTCAAGGGTGGTTTTTCCCGGACGTAGAGAAGATCAAAGAGGCCCGGTCGATGGAGCTGAAGAGCTGCAAGCGACTTGATTCGCTGAAGGGAAGATACTGATCTGTGGCTCTCATGGCTGCTACACTTGTTCCTATTCGTTCTTGGGCGCGGTTGGCTTCGCATCCGTTGTTTACTAATATCCCATGCAATTGTCCCATGCTATTGGGCTCTACCACGATCAAGCCTTTTTTTTCTTTTCGAGCTTAGATGTCTATATGTTCTCACGGTTTGTTGATGGCGTTCTATGGGCAAACAATGACTTCTTTTGTTGCGTTGGGTTCGGAATCAGTGTTTTGACTATTATTGTCGTGAGTGATTGTTATAAGAGTGGATTCTCTCATCACCTGACTTATCAACCATAAGATGTACGCTAAGATGCACACTTCAACACTGACCAGTATTGAATTATTGTGCAATGGATGGGTTCATGATGGAGGATAGATCATTGATGGCGGTGATGAGCCGGACCCGATTGGGGCAAGTGTGTTGTGCCCTGAGCGGGGAGGGAAGATCAAATCCATCCAACCAGCTTAGTTAATAATCACTGGTTAACAATCGACCATGACAGAAAGTCCGACTTAACGACGACGACGACCGCGCATGCAGAAGTGACATCGACATCCTCCACCCCCAACTTCCGCGTTGTCCTTGTCCTCGGTTTACCCCATCATCAGCCCCTCCTGAGGACTTGTCACATCTCGGTTGCTGGTTTTTCTCTCTTCTTTCCTCCCCCCACAGTTCCTTCGTTCCATCAAACTCAGCCAAGCACTTTGCAGAAAACCGTGACCCGCTGACCGAGGAAGGTTTTCTGCTGCGGGCTGCCCCGATCAGCATCAGTAGAGATGTCCGATAGCCAGTCTGAAGCGGACAAGGTTCGTTTACTCATCTTTTTTTTTCAAATTCATTCAAGGCCCAATATCGAATCTAAGTTTCCTCTGACCCCTGTTACCTACAGATCCGCAGCAAGCGCTTGGCAAAGCTAGGAAATCCCACTCCCTCGTCGCCCGTCGACGGCGCTGCGTCGAGCCAGCCCGCATCGCCCTCGCAGCCCTCGCCTGCATCCCGATTCCCAGAGAGACCCCAGTCACAACCACGATCCAACCTGAGCAGCGCCGCTCCTTCACGGGCCTCGTCCCCGCAACCACAGACCGTGCAATCGGAATGGAAGCGGATCAAGATTCAACCCCCCACGGCCGCCAGCGCAGCGCCAGACCGATCGCAAACCGTTACCCCAGTCTCCGGCACTCCCCCTCCACCGAGAGCTGACGAGAGTATCGAGTCCTTTGCCGATCGGACCCTCAGCGCGGCCTTCAAACTGACCTTGAACGAGGCTCGTCAGAAGGATATTCACGGGCAGCGGTTAACCTACTTGCCCGGACTGCGGGGTGAGCTGGAGGAGCAAGGCCGTGAGGTCCGCATCGAGCTGTCGGTGCTGGACCAGGCCCTCCTGGAGGCAGCTTCGAATGCTCCCCAGCAGAAGCCGTTGGATTACCTGCTTCCATGCTGGAGGCGGATATCCCGGTTGCACAAAGGGTTCCGTCGGCCTCGCGACGATGACCCGAAATACAGCGTCATCTGTGAAGCCCGCCGCATGTGCATGAGCTACTGCATCTTTGCTATCACCATGCCGGAAATGTTCGGGTAGGTTTGACTCGCCTTTTGGCACGATTAGCAGCTGACACATTCTGCCCCCCCTAAAGGCTCGAGTCGTCTGAAAAGTCGGCCCTCAAACCCTATCTCCTCCTGGACCCGGAGGATGACAAAGGTGTGGATTTTGAGTTCATCGGCGAGGCTGTGGGCAGGTTCAATGAGGATGAAAGCATCAAGCCGGCCTTCATTACTGCTGTGGAGGAAATGAGCCAGGAGCTTGCGGGCCTGACCATCAACGATGATTACAAGCCCTATCTCACAGTATGTTGATCTCTTCTCTTCACCGTGGGCGCGTCTCATCAACCTGTTTGCAGGCTTTGCGGAACCTTGTCCACAATGCAGCCATCGCGGCTGCCATTACTGAGTCATCCATGTTCAACGAGTCTCGGGATCCAGCTCAGTTCGAAAAAAAGACGCTGCTTGGCCCGTGGTTCAGTCTGTCCCCGCTTCAGAGCAGTGTGACCATGACATACTTCTCGAGCCCCAAGACTAGAGATCAATCATACATCCTGAACGCACAGCGGTCTATCCGCATGATGCAGCATATGATTAGCTCGGATCTGCTTGATGTGCTTAACCACATGATCCGGGCCTCCAAGGATGCCAGGGATCGGGTGCTAGACTGGTTCGCAGCCTCCCTGAACATCAACCACAAGCGACGGGCTATGCAAGTGGATCCTACTACTGTGTCGTCGGATGGCTTCATGTTCAACATCACAACTTGCCTGGACCAGCTCTGCGAGCCGTTCATGGATGCAAGCTTCACCAAGGTATGAGAGTCAGTCAATTAGTTAGGTGCTTTGCGGGTCTGACTCAATTTGTCGTTGCAGATCGACAGGGTCGATGCAAACTATCTACACCGCAAGCCTCGGGTAGATATGAAGGACGAAACCAAAGTCAATGCTGATCAGCATGCCTCGGATGCTTTCTATGCCAAGTCCGCAGAAGGAACGTCCAATTTTATCACGGAGATTTTCTTCCTGACGGTGGCTGCCCATCACTACGGTAGTGAGTCTCTGACTTCCAAGCTCGAGCAGCTCGAGAAAGACCTGCGGCACATGGAGTCCACCATCAACAAGTTCGAGCTGGAGCGGCATCGGTGGTTGAACAATCCAGTGCAGCTCAGAGTATTCGAGCAGGCCCTCAAGAAATACAAGGACAAGCTGGACCTGGGTCTGGCCCTGAAATACAGCTTGCAGGGCGTCTTGTTTGATGATCAATGGCAGGCGCGGTCCATGCTCTTCATGCGATATGTGGTGGTCTGGGTACTGCGGGTTGTATCCGGCACTAACTTTCCCAAGGAGCCGCTCAAGCTTCCCTTGCCTGAGCAGCAACCAGAGGTGTTCCAGTGCCTGCCCGAATACTTCATCGATGATATTGTCAGCAACTTCAAGTTCATTATGTGGGCTATGCCTCAAATCATTACTGCCACTCAAGGAGACGAGCTGGTTATGCTTTGCATTACCTTCCTAGAGAGCTCGAGCTACATCAAGAACCCCTATCTCAAAGCAGGTCTTGTCTCCATCCTGTTCCGAGGAACCTGGCCTCGCCCTGGAGGCGGTCGGGGTGTCCTCGTGGACTTGCTCAACTCCATGCCTTTCGCCAACCAGCATCTACTGCATGCCCTGATGAAGTTCTATATCGAGGCTGAGCACACCGGTACACATACCCAGTTTTTCGATAAGTTTAATATCCGTTACGAGATTTTCCAGATCATCCAATGCATCTGGCCCAATACCCATTACCGCAACAAGCTTTACAACCAGTCCAAGCAGAACCTGGATTTCTTCGTGCGCTTCGTCAATCTTCTGCTCAATGACGTGACCTATGTGCTCGATGAGTCCTTTGGGGCCTTCATCACGATTCACAAGACGCAAACGGAACTGCGCAATGCAGCAGCGATGGAGTCCACCGTACGCCAAGAAAAGGAGGAGCAGCTGGCGGCCGCGCAGCGCAATGCCAAGTCCTATATGCAGTTGACGAATGAGACTGTTTCCATGCTCAAGTTGTTCACCGATGCACTGGCCGATTCTTTCACGATGCCTGAAATTGTGCAGCGATTGGCAGATATGCTCGACTACAACCTGGACGCCATGGTCGGGCCCAAGAGTGCCACTCTGCGGGTGGATAACTTGCAGGAATATGGCTTCAACCCTCGGGCATTGCTGAGCGAGATCGTTGATGTCTATCTGAATCTGACGGGCAAAGAGAGCTTCATTGTGGCTGTGGCACGTGATGGGCGATCCTACAAGCCTGCCAATTTCGAAAAGGCCGCCGAGATTCTGCGGAAATGGTCCCTCAAGTCGCCCGAGGAGCTCAAGCGGTGGGAGCAGTTCCAGCACAAGGTAAAGGCGGCTAAAGAAGAAGACGAGCAGGCGGAAGAAGACCTCGGGGAGGTTCCTGATGACTTCCTGGGTATGATTACACTTCTGGCATCCACTCCAACGGCACTAATGCAGCTTTGTAGATCCTCTTATGTACACTCTGATGGAAGACCCCGTGATCCTGCCTGGGTCCAGGGTGTCTATTGACCGCTCTACCATTCGCTCGCACCTTCTCAGTGATCCCCACGACCCCTTCAACCGAGCTCCGTTGAAAATGGAGGATGTCACACCCGGTGAGTATTCTGGTTGTTGACGATATCCCAAAGGTTCAAGGCTGACCGTTCATCCTAGATACGGAACTCAAGGCCAAGATCGAAGCCTTCAAGGCCGAACGGATGGCGGCGCGCAGGCAGGCTAAGGTGTCCGATCCGATGGACACGACTACTGGTTGATTGCGAGTCAAAAGCAACGGCTTCTATGCAGAGGGCATTTCCGCCGCCCCAGGGCTTATTCCAATTAGCGCTTTTGACCATGAGATGGATTGAGGTCGTCGTTTTCTTTGTTACCTTTACTGAGAAGGGTTGGAGTTTTCTCTTGCGTTGGATTATCATCATAGAATAGCCGAGTCGGGGGCGGATTCTACAGTACATCGCTACCCGATCAGGGCACCATGGTCTGCATTGCCGGACGGTTTGAACCCAGTGATGTGTTACGGTTTTGGAATCTAAGCATGAATGGTAGGCGCAATGGACGGTGATTTATATCAGTATGGGTTCCAGTCAACGTATTCGTATTCGAGGAGATAAGCTGTGGCCTGCTTGATTGCAGATCTCCTTTAGTCAGATCTTAGTCATTCACATGATCGAAGGATCACTTGAGTTCATGTGAACTTCCAATGACATAACTGCTGGGGAGATGTTGCATCTACAGGAAGCACTCATACAAAGTACAGTATGTCGACTTCACCAGTACACCCATCCATCCCCCATCCCAACATGGGAGCCATCCTCTCCTCCTGCTGGGACCATCTCCCTCCTCTGATGGACATTCTCCTCCCCACCCCCGATGTCTATCTCACCTTACTGAACATCTTCCAATACTTCCCGCTGGTCAGTCTGCGATTCCATCTTGTTGGGGGGGTCATGCTAACCACCGCACCGAAGTACAGTTCACCATCATGCAATGGCTGACAGCCTGGCACCCGGCCGGCAAGACCTCCATGAAGAGCTCCCTCTTCAACCTCCCCGGCCGCTGGGCCTGGTTCGCCATGGAGATCGTCAGCCCGGTGAACTTGCTCTACGTGCTGTGGAAGCTGCCCCTCAAGCTCGCCGCCGCCCACCGCACCACCACCAATTCTGGTTCGAATGCCAATGGCTCTATCTCTATCTCTATCTCTATCCCCCTGCCCAACAAACTCCTCGCCGCCCTCTTCGTCGCGCACTACCTCAACCGCGCCATCATCT